TTTGGGGTTTTAAGGGGGTTTGGGGGAATATTTCGGGGATCTAAGGGGGTTTTGAGGGGATTTGGGGGGATTTTGGGTGGTTTAAGGATTTTTGGGTGGTTCAGGGATTTTGGGGGGTTTTGAGGGTATTTTGGGGGTTTTGGGGTTGAGGGGTTTTGAGGGATTTTGGGGAAATTCTGGTGATTTTGGGGAAATTTAGGAGATTATTGGGGGTTTTGGGGGTTTTTTGAGGGGTTTGGGGGTGTTGAGGGGGATTTGAGGGTTTAAGGAGATTTTTGGGGTGGTTAGGGAGGGCTTTAAAGGGGGATTTTGGGGGATTTTGGGTGGTTGAGGGGGTGTTTGAGGGATCTGGGGGGTTTGGGGGATTTGGGGTTTTAGGGGGTGTGGGGGAATATTTCTGGGGATCTAAGGGGGTTTTGAGGGATTTGGGGGATTTTGGGGGGTTTGAGGGATTTTGGGGGTTTTGAGGGGCTTAAGGGGATTTTTGGGGGGATTAGGGAGAGGTTTAAGGGGATTTTGGGGGATTTTGGGTGGTTGAAGGGTTTGAGGATTTGGGGGTTTTGAGGGGATTTTGTGGGTTTTTAAGGGGTTTGGGGGAATCTTGAGGGATTTGAGGGGATTTTGGGGCAGCCTGAGGGGGATTTTGGAATTTTGGGGATTTGGGGGGTTGAGGAGATTTTAGGGAGTGATTTAGGAGTTTTGGGATGATTTGAGGGGGTTTAGGGCTTTGGGGATCTTAAGGGATTTTTGGGTGGTTGGGGGTTTGAGGATTTGGGGATTTCAGGGATTTTGGGGGCATCTGAGGGAGATTGGGGGACTTTGAGGAGGTTTGGGGGATTTGAGGTTTGAGAGGATTTGGGGGTGTTTTGAGGATTTGGGGTGATTTAAGAGGATTTGGGGGACTTGAGGGTTTGGGGGATTTGGGGATTATGAGGGTTTGGGGGTTTTGGGTGAGGATTTGAGGGGATTTGGGGTTTTAAGAGGATTTGGGGGTTTGAGGGGATTTGGGGGATTGAGGGAGGTTTGGGGGATTATTGGGGGAATATTGAGGGGATTTGGGGGTTGGGGGAGTTTTAGGGGATTTTGGGGGTTTTAAGGGGATTTGGGGGTTTTTTGAGGGGATTTTGGGGGTCTTGAGGAATTATTGTGAATTTGGGGATATTGGGGGCTTAAGGGTTTTTAGGATTTGGGGGATTTTTGGGGGATTGAAGGATTTGGGGGAGTTTGGGGATTTGGGGGTTTTGGGGGATTTGGGGGTTAAGGGAATTTAGGTGATTTGAGGGGATTTTGGGGTGTTTGAGGGGATTTAGGGGTCTTAAGGGGAGTTTGGGGGATTTGTGGGGTTTTGGGTGGGTTTGAGGGATTTTGGGGGATTATGGGGGTTTGAGGGGGATCTCGGGGGATTGGGGGAATATTGGGGGTTTGAGGATTTGGGGGGATTATTGGGGAGATTTGGGGGGGTTTTACAGGGATTTTAGGGGGTTTGGGGGAATATTTGGGGATCTTGGGGCTCAGATTTGGGGTCTTGAGTTTAAATTTTTGGGTCTGGGGTAAATTTGGGGAGTCTGGGGGTCAATTTTGGGGGTGTTTGGGTCAATTTTGGAGGGTTTTGGGTCAAATTTTGGGGGTTTGGGATCAATTTTTGGGAGTTTTGTGTCAATTTTAGGGGTTCTGGGTTTAAATTTGGGGGGGGTTGGGGTCAATGTGAGGGGTCTGGGCTCAATTTGGGGGGGTCTTGGGGTCAATTTTAGGGGTCTTGGGCTCAATTTTTGGGGTTTTGGGTCAATTTTGGGGGGTTTGGGTCAATTTTAGGGGTTTTGGGTCAATTTTAGGGGTCTTGGGCTCCATTTTTGGGGTTTTGGGTCAATTTTGGGGGTTTTACCTCAATTTTAGGGGGTCTTGGGGTCAATTTTGGGGGTTTTGTGTCAATTTGGGGGGTCTGGGATGAAATTTTGGGGGTTTTGGGCTCAATTTTGGGGGGGGTTGGGTCAATTTTTAGGGTCTGGGGTCGATTTTGGGGGTTTTGGGCTCAATTCTTGGGAGTTTTGTGTCAATTTTAAGAGGTCTGGGTTTAAATTTGGGTGGTTTTGGGTCAATTTGTGGGATCTGGGGTCAATTTTTGGGGGTTTTGGGTCAATTTTGGGGGGCTTTGGGTCAAATTTTTTGTATCTTGGGTCAATTTGGGGGGTCTGGGATGAAATTTTGGGGGTTTTGGGTCAATTATAGGGGTTCTGGGTTTAAATTTGGGGAGTTTTGGGTCAATTTGAGGGGTCTGGGTTTAAATTTGGGGGTTTTGGGTCAATTTGAGGGGTCTGGGATGAAATTTTGGGGTTCTTGGTCTCAATTTTAGGGGATTTTGTGTCAATTTTTGGGAGTTTTGCCTCAATTTTGGGGGGGTTTTGGGTCAATTTTGGGGTTTTGGGTCAATTTTTGGGAGTTTGGGGTCAATTTTAGGGTTCTTGGGCTCAATTTTGGGGGTTTTGGGTCAAATTTGGGGGGGTTTGGGCTCAATTTTTGACAGTTTTGGGTCAATTTTAGAGGATGTGGGTTTAAATTTGGGGAGTTTTGGGTCAATTTCAGGGGTTTGGGTTTAAATTTGGGGGTTTTGGGTCAATTTGGGGAGTCTGGGATGAAATTTTGGGGGTTCTTGGTCTCAATTTTAGGGGATTTTGTGTCAATTTTGGGGGTTTTACCTCAATTTTAGGGGGTCTTGGGGTCAATTATTTGTATCTTGGATCAATTTGGGGGGTCTGGGATGAAACTTTGGGAGTCTGGGATGAAATTTTGGGGGTCTTGGGCTCAATTTTGGGGGGGTTTGGGGTCAATTTTTGGGGTTCTTGGTCTCAATTTTAGGGGATTTTGTGTCAATTTTGGTGTTTTTGTGTCAATTTTTGAGGGGTTTTGTGTCAATTTTCCTCTCAAATCAACCCCTAACCCCCCAAATCTTCCCTTGCAGCCCCTCCCACCCTCCTCCCTCCCCCTCCTCCTCCTCCCCACCCCTTCAGGACCCCCCAAATTTGGGAGAACCCCCCCAAAATTTGGGGGGGGGGACCCTGAGGTTGGAAGAGCTGGGCCTGGGGGGCTTCACCCCCGTGGGGCTCCTGCAGAACCTTCTGGAAAGTCTCCACCTCGACCTGGGGCTGCCCTGGTGGGGGGCCATCGCTGCAGGTCAGTTTTGGGGCAAAAACGGGCGATTTTGGGGCATTTTAGGTCTTTTTTTGGGTTTTTAAGTGGAAAAAATGGGGTTTTTTCAGGGGGGATTTTTCCTGACTTTTTGCTTGAATTTTGGACCAATTTTTCCCAATTTTAAGGGTGAATTTTGGGGCAATTTTTCCAAATTTCGGGGTGAATTTTGGACTGATTTTTCTTAGTTTTGGGGGTGAATTTTGGGCCAATCTTTTCCAATTTTAGGGTGAATTTTTGGGCCAATTTTTACCCATTTTTAGGGTGAATTTTGGTCCGATTTTTTCCAATCTTGGGGTCGAATTTTGGGCCAATATTTCCCAATTTTGGGGCAAATTTTGGGCCAATTTTTCCTGACCTTGGGGTGAATTTTGGAGCGAATTTTGGACCAATATTCCCCAATTTTAGGGTAAATTTTGGGCCAATATTCCCCAATTTTAGGGTGAATTTTGGGCCAATTCTTCCCAATTTTAAGGGTGAATTTGGGGCCAATTTTTCCCCATTTTAATGCGAATTTTGGGCCAATTTTTCCCAATTTTGGGGCAAATTTTGCCCAATTTTTCCTAATTTTAGGGCGAATTTTGGGCTGATTTTTCTTAATTTTTGGGGTGAATTTTTGCCCAATTTTTCCTGACTTTTTGCCTGAATTTTGGACCAATTTTTCCCAATTTTAAGGGTGAATTTTGGGTTGATTTTTCCTAATTTTAGGGTAAATTTTGGGCTGAGTTTTCCTAATTTTAGAGCGAATTTTGGGCTGATTTTTCTTAATTTTTGGGGTGAATTTTTGCCCAATTTTTCCTGACTTTTTGCAAGAATTTTGGACCAATTTTTCCCAATTTTAAGGGTGAATTTTGGGCTGATTTTTCTTAATTTTAGGGTAAATTTTGGGCTGATTTTTCTTAATTTTGGGGTGAATTTTGGGCTGATTTTTCGGGATTTTAGGGTAAATTTTGGGCTGAGTTTTCCCAATTTGGGGTGAATTTTGGGCTGAGTTTTCTTAATTTTAGGGTAGATTTTAGGCTGAGTTTTCCTAATTTTAGCCCGAATTTTGGGCCAATTTTTCCCCATTTTAATGCGAATTTTGGGCCAATTTTTCCCCCTTTTGAGGGTGAATTTTTAGGCCGATTTTTCCGCATTTTAGGGTGAATTTTGGGCCGATTTTTCCCGATTTTAGGGTGAATTTTTGGGCCAATTTTTCTCCCATTTTGAGGGTGAATTTTAGGCTGAATTTTCTTGATTTTGGGGTGGATTTTGAGTTGAATTTTGGGCTGATTTTTCGGGATTTTGGGGTGAATTTTGTGCTGAGTTTTCTTAATTTTAGGATAAATTTTGGGCTGAGTTTTCTTAATTTTAGGGTAAATTTTGGGCTGAGTTTTCCTAATTTTAGCCCGAATTTTGGGCCAATTTTTCCCCATTTTGAGGGTGAATTTTTAGGCCGATTTTTCCTGATTTTAGGGTGAATTTTTGGGCCAATTTTTCCCCATTTTGAGGGTGGATTTTTAGGCTGATTTTTCCTAATTTTAGGGTAAATTTTGGGCTGATTTTTCTAATTTTAGGGTTAATTTTGGGCTGATTTTTCTTAATTTTAGGGTAAATTTTGGGCTGATTTTTCTTAATTTTAGGGTAAATTTTGGGCCGATTTTTCTTAATTTTAGGGTGAATTTTGGGCTGAGTTTTCCCCATTTTAATGCAAATTTTGGGCCAATTTTTCCCAATTTTGGGGCAAATTTTGCCCAATTTTTCCTAATTTTAGGGCAAATTTTGTGCTGATTTTTCCTGACTTTGAGGGCAAATTTTGGGCTGATCTTTTCCTAATTTTAGCCCGAATTTTGTACCAATTTTTCCCCATTTTAATGCGAGTTTTGGGCCAATTTTTTATAATTTGGGGTCGAATTTTGGGCCAATATTTTCCAATTTTGGGGGTAAATTTTGGACTGATTTTTCTTCATTTTGGGGGTGAATTTTTGGCCAATATTTTCCAATTTTAGGGTGAATTTTTAGGCCGATTTTCCCTATTTTAAGGGTGAATTTTGGACTGATTTTTCCTGACTTTTTGCCTGAATTTTGGGCCAATATTTCCCAATTTTAAGGGTGAATTTTGGACCGATTTTTCTTAATTTTGGGGAAGAATTTTGGACCGACTTTTCCTGATTTTAAGGCAAATTTTGTGCTGATTTTTCCTGACTTTGAGGGCGAATTTTGAGCCGATTTTTTCCAATTTTAGGGTGAATTTTGGGCCGATTTTTTATAATTTGGGGTCAAGTTTTGGGCCAATATTTTCTAATTTTAGGGTGAATTTTTGGGCCAATATTCCCCAATTTTAGGGCAAATATTGGACCAATATTTCCCAACTTTAACCTGAATTTTGGGCCAATTTTTCCCCATTTTAAGGGCAAATTTTGGACCAGTATTTCCCAATTTTAGCCTGAATTTTGTACCAATTTTTCCCCATTTTAATGTGAATTTTGGACCGAATTTCCCCAATTTTATCCCGAATTTCAGGCCGATTTTTCCCAAATTTGGGTCCGATTTTTCCTGACTTTTTCCCCAAATTTTGCCCTCTTTTTCCTCCAATTCCTCCCTAATTCTGGGCTCTTTCCCCCCCATTTCCAGGCACGGTTGGGGTGCTGCTGCTGCCCTCGGGGGTGAATTTTGGGGGATGGATTTTGAACCGATTTTTTATAATTTGAGGTCGAATTTTGGGCCAATATTTTCCAATTTTAGGATGATTTTTAGGCTGATTTTTCCCCATTTTTAGGGTGAATTTTGGACTGATTTTTCTTAGTTTTGGGGGTGAATTTTGGGCCGATTTTTTCTGACTTTGAGGGCAAATTTTGGGCTGATTTTTCTTAATTTTAGGGTAAATTTTGGGCTGAGTTTTCTTAATTTTAGGGTAAATTTTGTGCCAATTTTTCCTGACTTTGAGGGCAAATTTTGGGCTGATCTTTTCCTAATTTTAGCCCGAATTTTGGGCCAATTTTTCCCCATTTTAATGTGAATTTTGAGCCAATTTTTCCCCATTTTAAGGGCAAATTTTGGACCAGTATTTCTCAATTTTAGGACAAGTTTTGGGTCAATATTTCATAATTGTAAGGTGAATTTTGTGCCAATTTTTCCCCATTTTAATTCAAATTTCAGGCCAATTTTTCCCCATTTTAATGCGAATTTTGGACCGAATTTTCCCATTTTTAGGGCGAATTTGCACCCGATTTCTCCCAATATTTTCCCCAAATTTTGCCCTCTTTTTCCTCCATTTCCTCCCTAATTCTGGGTCTTTTCCCCCCCATTTTTAGGCACAGTGGGGGTGCGGCTGCTGCTGCTGCCCTCGGGGGTGAATTTTGGGGGATGAATTTTGAACCGATTTTTTATACTTTAATATTGAATTTTGGGCCAATTTTTTTCCAATTTTAGAGTGAATTTTGGGCCGATTTTTCCCCATTTTTAGGGTAAATTTTGGGCCAATTTTTCTTAATTTGGGGGGTGAATTTTGTGCCAATATTTTCCAATTTTAGGGTGAATTTTAGGCTGATTTTCCCCATTTTTAGGGCAAATTTTGGGTCGATTTTTCCTGACTTTGAGATCAAATTTTGGGCAGATTTTTTCCAAATTTTAACCTGAATTTTGGGCCAATTTTTCCCCATTTTAGGGTGAATTTTGGGCCGATTTTTCCCCATTTTAAGGGTGAATTTTGGGCCAATTTTTCATAATTTTAAGGCAAATTTTGGGCTGATTTTTCCCAACTTTGAGGGCAAATTTTGGGCCGATCTTTTCCTAATTTTAGCCCGAATTTTGTGCCAATTTTTCCCCATTTTAAGGGTGAATTTTTGGGCCAATTTTCCCCCAATTTTAGAGTGAATTTTTAGGCCGATTTTTCCTGATTTTAGGGTGAATTTTTGGGCCAATTTTTCCCCATTTTAAGGGTGAATTTTGGTCTGATTTTTTCCAACTTTGGGGTCGAATTTTGGGCCAATATTTTCCAATTTTAGGGTGAATTTTTGGGCCGAGTTTTCTTAATTTTAGGGTGAATTTTGGGCTGAGTTTTCCTAATTTTAGGGTAAATTTTGGACTGATTTTTCTTAATTTTAGGGTAAATTTTGGGCTGAGTTTTCCTAATTTTGGGGTAAATTTTGGGCCAATTTTTCCGGATTTTGGGGTAAATTTTGGGCTGAGTTTTCCTAATTTTAGGGTAAATTTTGGGCCAATTTTTCATAATTTTAAGGCAAATTTTGGGCCGATTTTTTCTGACTTTGAGGGCAAATTTTGGGCTGATTTTTTCCAAATTTCAGGCTGAATTTTGTGCCAATTTTTCCCCATTTTAATGCGAATTTTGGGCCGATTTTTCCCCGTTTTAATGTGAATTTCGGGCCGATTTTTCCCCATTTTAATGTGAATTTTGGGCCGAATTTTCCCAATTTTAGCCTGAATTTTGTACCAATTTTTCCCCATTTTAATGCGAATTTTGGGCCGATTTTTCCCATTTTTAGCCTGAATTTTGGGCTGATTTTCCCCAATTTTAGGACAAATTTCAGGCCGATTTTTCCCAATTTTAAGGGTGAATTTTGAGCCAATTTTTTATAATTTGAGGTCGGATTATGGGCCAATATTTTCCAATTTTGGGGGTAAATTTTGGACTGATTTTTTTCATTTTGGGGGTGAATTTTGGGCCAATATTTTCCAATTTTAGGGTGAATTTTTAGGCCGATTTTCCCTATTTTAAGGGTGAATTTTGGGCCAATTTTTCCTGACTTTTTGCCTGAATTTTGGACCAATTTTTCCCAATTTTAAGGGTGAATTTTGGACCGATTTTTCTTAATTTTGGGGAAGAATTTTGGACCGACTTTTCCTGATTTTAAGGCAAATTTTGTGCTGATTTTTCCTGACTTTGAGGGCAAATTTTGGGCCAATTTTTCTGTTCTTGGGGCGAATTTTAAGACAAACTTTGGGCCAATTTTTTTGGACTTTTAGGATGAATTTGGGGCCGATTTTTCCTGACCTTGTGACGAATCTTGGGGTGAATTTTGGACCAATATTCCCCAATTTTAGGGCAAATCTTGGGCCAGTATTTCCCAATTTTAGCGTAAATTTTGGGCCAGTTTTTCCCAATTTTAGGGTGAATTTGGGGCCAATTTTTCCCCATTTTAATGCGAATTTTGGGCCAATTTTTACCAATTTTAGGGCAAATTTTGCTCAATTTTTCCCTATTTTAAGGGTGAATTTTGGGCCAATTTTTCCCAATTTTAGGGTGAATTTAGAATAATTTTTCCCCATTTTAATGCGAATTTTGGGCCAATTTTTACCAATTTTAGGGCAAATTTTGCTCAATTTTTCCCCATTTTAAGGGTGAATTTTGGGCCGATTTTTTCCCATTTTAAGGGTGAATTTTGGACCAATATTTCCCAACTTTAGCCTGAATTTTGTGCCGATTTTTCCCCCTTTTAATGCGAATTTTGGGCCGATTTTTCCCCATTTTAATTCAAATTTCAGGCCAATTTTTCCCCATTTTAATTCGAATTTTCAGCTGATTTTTCTCTGACTTAGAAAACAAATTTTGGGCTATTTTTCCCTTAATTTTCTCCTTAATTTTGGGTCTTTTTTCCCCATTTCCAGGCACGGTTGGGGTGCGGCTGCTGCTGCTGCCGCTGGTGCTGCGAGGCCAACGCGAGGCCGCCCGGCTGGCCCAGCACCTCCCCCACCTGCAGAAACTCAGCCAGCGATTGGCTGAGGCCAGGAGGGGGCAGGACCAGCACCAGGGTAGGCGGGGCCAAAATTTGGGGGGGTGGGGTCGAAATTTGGGGGGTGGGAGGTGAAATTTGGGGAAAAATGGGGCTGGGTGAAGTGAAATGGGCGTGAGTTTAAGGGCTGTGGGGCGGGCTTGAAGGGTTGGGGGTGGGCGTGGTTTGAGGGCTTGGGGGCGTGGCTTGAGCAAGTGAGGGTGGGCCAGTGTGGGAGGTGAAAATTGGGGTGCCGAAATTTGGGGGTGGGAGGTGAAATTTGGGGAGAAAAGGGGAAAATGGGGTTAAAAGGACAAAAGGGGCGTGACTTGAAGGGTTGGGGGCGTGGTTTGAAGGGTTAGGGGCGTGGTTTGAAGGGTTGGGGGCGTGGTTTACAGGTGAGGGCGTGGCCAGTGTGGGAGGGGCTTATGGGAGGGCGTGGCTTGGAATTTCAGGGGTGGGAGGTGAAATTTGGGGAGAAAAGGGGGAAAAATGGGGTTAAAAAGTGACAAAAGGGGCGTGGCTTGAAGGGCTGGGGGCGTGGCCAATGTGGGAGGGGCTTGTGGGGAGGGCGGGGCTTGAGATTGGGGGTGGGAGGTAAAATTTGGGGGGTGGGAGGTGAAATTTGGGGAGAAAAAGGGAAAAATGGGGTTAAAAGTGACAAAAGGGGCGTGGCTTGAAGGGTTGAGGGCGTGGTTTGAGGGTTGGGGCGTGGCCAGTGTGGGAGGGGCTTGTGGGGAGGGCGGGGCTTGAAATTTGGGGGTGGGTTCAAATTTGGGGGTGGGAGGTGAAATTTGGGGAGAAAAAGGGGAAAAAATGGGGTTAAAAAGTGACAAAAGGGGCGTGGCTTGAAGGGTTGGGGGCGTGGTTTGAGGGTTGGGGGCGTGGCTTGAATGGTGGGGGCGTGGCCAGTGTGGGAGGGGCTTGTGGGGAGGGCGGGGCTTGAAATTTGGGGTGGGAGGTGAAATTTGGGGAGAAAAGGGGAAAAATGGGGTTAAAAGACAAAAGGGGCGTGGCTTGAAGGGTTGGGGGCATGGCTTAAAGGGTGGGGGTGTGGCCATTGTGGGAGGGGCTTGTGGGGAGGGCGTGGCTTGAAATTTGGGGGTGGGGCCTAAATTTGGGGGCTGGGAGGTGAAATTTGGGAGAAAAAGGGGAAAAATGGGGTTAAAAAGTGACAAAAGGGCGTGGCTTGAAGGGTTGGGGGCGTGGCTTAAAGGGCTGGGGCCGTGGCTTAAAGGGTGGGGCGTGGCCAGTGTGGGAGGTGAAAGTTGGGGGTGGGGCCAAAATTTGGGGGTGGGAGGTGAAATTTGGGGAGAAAAGGGAAAAAATGGGGTTAAAAAGTGACAAAAGGGGCGTGGCTTGAGGGTTGGGGGCGTGGCTTAAAGGGTGGGGGCGTGGCCAGAGTGGAATGGGCTTATAGGGAGCTTCTAGAAGGGGTGTGGCCTCTTAAAAGGGGGCGGGGCTTCATTTGGAAGGGGGTGGGGCTTCCTCCTTAAGGGGGCGTGGCTTAAATGAAAGGGGGCGTGGCCTCCTCTGAAAGGGGGCGTGGCCTCCAATTAACAGTCCCTTTTAAGGCTTAATTAACCCCCTAATTAACCCTAAAGATGGGTGGGCGTGGCTTAAATAAAAGGGGGCGTGGCCTCCAATTAAACCCCCCCCATTTTAAGGCCTAATTAACCCCCTAATTAACCCTGGGGAGGGGTGGGCGTGGCTTAAATAAAAGGGGGCGTGGCCTCCAATTAACACCCCCCCCATTTTAAGGCCTAATTAACCCCCTAATTAACCCTGGGGAGGGGTGGGCGTGGCTTAAATAAAAGGGGGTGTGGCCTCTTCAAAAAGGGGGCGTGGCCTCCAATTTACACCCCCCATTTTAAGGCCTAATTAACCCCCTAATTAACCCTGGGGAGGGGTGGGCGTGGCTTAAATAAAAGTGGGTGTGGCCTCCTCTAAAAGGGGGCGTGGCCTCCAATTAACCCCCCCATTTTAAGGCCTAATTAACCCCCTAATTAACCCTGGGGAGGGGTGGGCGTGGCTTAAATAAAAGGGGGTGTGGCCTCCTCTAAAAGGGGGTGTGGTCTCCTCTAAAAGTGGGCGTGGCCTCCAATTTACACCCCTCCTTTTAATGTCTAATTAACCCCCTAATTAACCCCTGGGGAGGGGTGGGCGTGGCTTAAATAAAAGTGGGCGTGGCCTTCAAACAACCCCCCATTTTAAGGCCTAATTAACCCCCTAATTAACCCTGGGGAGGAGTGGGCGTGGCTTAAATAAAAGGGGGTGTGGCCTCCTGTAAAGGAGGTGTGGCCTCCTATAAAGGGGGCGTGGCCTCCAATTTACACCCCCCATTTTAAGGCCTAATTAACCCCCTAATTAACCCTGGGGAGGGGTGGGCGTGGCTTAATTAAAAGGGGGCGTGGCCTCCAATTAAACCCCCCATTTTAAGGCCTAATTAACCCCCTAATTAACCCTGGGGAGGGGTGGGCGTGGCTTAAATAAAAGGGGGCGTGACCTCCAATTAAACCCTTATTTTAAGGCTTAATTAACCCCTGGGAAGAGGTGGGCGTGGCTTAAATAAAAGGGGGCGTGGCCTCCAATTAACCCCCCCATTTTCATGTCTAATTAACCCCCTAATTAACCCTGGGGAGAGGTGGGCGTGGCTTAAACAAAAGTGGGCGTGACCTCCAATTAAACCCTTATTTTAAGGCTTAATTAACCCCTGGGAAGAGGTGGGCGTGGCTTAAATAAAAGGGGGCGTGGCCTCCAATTAACCCCCCCATTTTCATGTCTAATTAACCCCCTAATTAACCCTGGGGAGAGGTGGGCGTGGCTTAAACAAAAGTGGGCGTGGCCTCCAATTTACACCCATTTTAATGTTTAATTAGCCTTGGGAAGTGGTGGGCGTGGCTTAAATAAAAGTGGGCGTGGCTTAACAATAAGTGGGCGTGGCCTCTCCCCCTGACCACGCCCCCTTTCCCCTTTGGCCCCTCCCCCTTTCCCTCCCCACCAGTGGCCCGGGCGTACACGGAGCTGGTGTCGTATCAGCAGCGTCACAAGGTCAACCCCCTGCGGGGATTCCTCGTCCCATTGGTCCAGGTGAGGCCACGCCCCTCCCCTGCTCATTTGCATGCTCGGGACACGCCCCCTTTGCCTTTAAAACCCCGAAAATCCCACTCGAAATACTCAAAAATTGACCCAAATTGACCCAAAATTGACCTAAAATTGACATAAAATGGACACAAAAATTGACCCAAAATGGACCCCAAAATGGACCCAAAATTGACCAAAAATTGACCTAAAATTGACCCAAAGTTGACCCAAAAATCACCCAAAATGGACCCAAAATGGGCCCAAAATCGACCAAAAATTGACCCAAAATGGACCAAAAATTGACCTAAAATCACCCAAAATTCAACCAAAACCCCCAACCCTCCCCAATAATTTCAAAAATTCCCCAAAAATTCAATTTATTCCTTTAAAAATTTAATTTAATCCCCCAAAAATTCACCTTATTCCTTAAAAAATTCAATTTATTCCCTCAAAAATCCAATTTGTCTTTAAAATTCAAAATATTCCTTAAAAAATCCAATTTATTCCCCAAAAAATCCAATTTATTCCCCAAAAAATCCCCCAAAAATTCAATTTATTCCCCCAAAAATCCGATTTTTTCCCCCGTTTTTTTTCCTTTTTGACCCCGAATTTTTTCCCAAACTTAAAATAAATTAAATTAAATCAAATTAAGTTAATTTTAACCAAATTTGGGGGTTCCAGACCCCCGTTTTCGTCTCTTTTTTCCTGGCCCTGCAGGGTCTGGGCTTGGACCTGGGGGGGCTTTTTTGGGTCCCCTGTTTGGGACACCCCAAAAATCACCCAAAATGGACCAAAAATCACCCAAAACAGACCCAAAATTGACCCAAAATTGACCCAAAATTCACCAAAAATTGACCCAAAATTGACCCAAAATGAACCCAAAATTGACCTAAAATTGACTAAAAATGGACCAAAAATTGACCCAAAATGGACCCAAAATTGACCCAAAATGGACCCAAAATTGACCCAAAATTCATCCTAAATGGACTGAAAATTGACACAAAATTGACCCAAAATGGACCCAAAAATCACCCAAAATGGACCCAAAATTGACCCAAAATGGACCCAAAATTGACCCAAAATGGACCCAAAATCGACCCAAAATGGACCCAAAATGGACCCAAAATGGACCCAAAATGGACCTAAAATTGACCCAAAATGGACCCAAAATTGACCCAAAATTGACCCAAAATGGACCCAAAATTGACTCAAAATGGACCCAAAATTGACCTAAAATTGACCCAAAATGGACCCCAAAATGGACCCAAAAAATCACCCAAAAATGACTCAAAAATCACCCGAAATTTACCAAAAATTGACCCAAAATTGACCAAAAAGTGGCGCAAAATGGACCCAAAATGGACCCAAAATGGACCAAAAATGGATCCAAAATCATCCAAAATTGACCCAAAAATCACCCAAAAGTGACTTAAAAATGACACAAAATGGACCCAAAATGGACCCAAAATAGACCCAAAATTGACCTAAAATTGACCAAAAATTGACCCAAAATTGACTCAAAATTGACCCAAAATTGACCCAAAATTGACCCAAAATTGACCCAAAATGGACCCAAAATTGACCAAAAATTCACCCAAAAATCACCCAAAAATGACTCAAAATGGACCCAAAATTGACCCAAAATCACCCAAAATTCACCCAAAATCCCCAAATCCTTCCTAATAATTCAAAAAATCACTCCAAAAATTCACTTTAATTTCCTTAAAATTCAATTTATTCCCTCAAAAATCCAATTTATTCCCCCAAAAATTTAAAATATTCCTTTTAAAATTCAAAATATCCTTTAAAAAATTCAATTTATTGCTTAAAAATTCAATTTATTCCTTTAAAAATTCAATTTATTTCCCAAAAAATTCAATTTATTCCTTAAAAAATTCGATTTTTTTCCCCGTTTTTTTTCCTTTTTGACCCCAATTTTTTCCCCAACTTAAAATAAATTAAATTAAATCAAATTAAATTAATTTTAACCAATTTTGGGGGTTCCAGACCCCCGTTTTCGTCTCTTTTTTCCTGGCCCTGCAGGGTCTGGGCTTGGACCTGGGGGGGCTTTTTTGGCTCCCCCATTTGGGACAGCCCAAAAATCACCCAAAATGGACCCAAAATTGACCCAAAAATCACCCAAAATGGACCCAAAATTGGCCTAAAATTGACCAAAACTTGACCCAAAATGGACCCAAAAATCACCCAAAATTGACCTAAAATGGACCCAAAATTGACCAAAAATGGACCCAAAATGGACCCAAAATGGACCAAAAATTGACCCAAAATGGACCCAAAAATTGACACAAAATCACCCAAAATGGACCCAAAAATGACTCAAAATTGACCCAAAATTGACCCAAAATGGGCCCAAAATTGACTGAAAATTGACCCAAAATTGGCCCAAAATGGACCCAAAATGGACCAAAAATGGACCCAAAATGGACCCAAAATGGACCAAAAATTGACCCAAAATGGACCCAAAAATTGACACAAAAATCACCCAAAATGGGCCCAAAATTGACTGAAAATTGGCCCAAAATGGACCCAAAATTGACCCAAAATGGACCAAAAATCACCCAAAATGGACCCAAAATTGACCCAAAATTGACCCCAAAAATCACCCAAAATTGACCCAAAATGGACCCAAAAATCACCCAAAATTGACCCAAAATGGACCCAAAATTGACCCAAAATCACCCAAAATTTACCCAAAATCACCTAAAATTCACCCAAAATCCCCAAATAATTTAAAAAATCCCCCAAAAATCCAATTTATTCTCCTAAAAATCCAATTTATTCCCTTTAAAATTCAAAATATTCCTTAAAAAATTCAATTTATTCCCCCAAAAATCCAATTTATTCCCCCAAAAATTCGATTTTTTTCCCCGTTTTTTTTCCTTTTTGACCCCAATTTTTTTCCCCAATTTTAATAAATTAATTTTAACCAATTTCAGGTGTTTTTAACCCAATTTGGGGGTTCCAGACCCCCGTTTTCGTCTCTTTTTTCCTGGCCCTGCAGGGTTTGGCGGCGGCTCCGGGGTTGGAGCTGGGTGGGATTTTTTGGGTCCCCGATTTGGGGCTCCCCGACCCCTTCTTTGTGCTGCCCCTCCTGGTGACGACCACCACCTGGCTGGTGCTCGAGGTAAGCAACCAATTTGGGTAAAAAAATGAAGATTTTGGGAAAAAATGGAATTTTTAGGATTTTTTTGGGTGAAAAAATGGGACTTTTGGGTAAAAAAATGGGGGTTTTTTGGGGTAAAATGGGGAATAAATTGAATTTTTGGGGGATTTTTTGGGGAATAAAGTGAATTTTAGGTGAAAAAATGAGGGATTTCGGAAAAAATGGGATTTTTGGGTAAAAAGATGAAACTTTTGGGAGAAAAAAAAGTATTTTTGGGTAAAAAATTTGGGGATTTTTGGGGTGAAAACATGGGGTTTTTTGGGAAAAAATGGGGGAAAATGGGATTTTGGGGGGTTTGGGGTCAATTTTGGGTCAATTTTGTGTCATTTTTGGGTCCATTTTGGATCCATTTTGGGGCCATTTTGGATCCATTTTTTAGACCATTTTTTGGTCCATTTTGGGGTCAATTTTGGGTCGATTTTGGGTGAATTTGAGTCCATTTTAGATCCATTTTTGGGTCCATTTTGGGTGAATTTTGGTGGATTTCGGGTCCCTTTTGGGTGAATTTGGGGTAAATTTGGGTGAATTTTGGGTCCATTATTGGTCCATTTTGGGTCCATTTTGGTGTCAATTTTGGGTCAATTTTGTGTCATTTTTGGATCCAATTTTTGGTCAATTTTAGGTCAATTTTGGGTGAGTTTTGGGTGGATTTGGATCCATTTTGGGTCCATTTTGGGTTCATTTTGGGTCCATTTTGGGTGATTTTTGGGTCCATTTTGGGTGAATTTGAGTCCATTTTGGGGTCAATTTTGGATCCATTTTTGGTCCATTTTGGGGTCAATTTTGGGATCATTTTGGTCTATTTTGGTCCATTTTGGATTCATTTTTTGGTCCATTGTGGGTCAATTTTGGGTCCATTTTGGTTCATTTTGGGTCCATTTTGGGTCAATTTTGGGTCCATTTTGGTTCATTTTGGGTCATTTTGGGTCAATTTTGGATCCATTTTTTGGTCCATTTGGGGTCAATTTTGGGTCCATTTTGGGTCAATTTGGATCCATTTTAGGATCGTTTTGGGTCCATTTTGGATTCCTTTTTTGGCCCATTTTGGGGTCAATTTGGGGTCCGTTTTGGGTGGATTTCGGTCCATTTTTGGCTTCATTTTGGGTGAATTTCGGTGGATTTTGGGTCCTTTTTGGGTGAATTTGGGGTAAATTTGGGTGAATTTTGGGGAAATTTTGGTGGATTTTGGATCCATTTTTGGGTCCATTTTGGGTCCATTTTGGGGTCAATTTTGGGTCCATTTTTGTTTCATTTTGGGTCTATTTTTGGTCCATTTTGGGTGAATTTGGATCCATTTTGGGTCCATTTTGGGTTCATTTTGGCTCCATTTTGAGTCCATTTTGGGTGAATTTTGGGTGAATTTTGAGTCCATTTTTGAGTCCATTTTGGGTCCATTTTGAGTTCATTTTGGGGCCATTTTGGGGCCATTTTTTGTCATTTTTGTGTCCATTTTGGTCCATTTTTGGTCCATTTTGGGGTCAATTTTGGGTCCATTTTGGTTCATTTTGGGTCCATTTTTTGTCATTTTTGTGTCCATTTTGGTCCATTTTTGGTCCATTTTGGGGTCAATTTTGGGTCCATTTTGGTTCATTTTGGGTCATTGTGGGTCAATTTTGGATCCATTTTTTGGTCCATTTTGGGTCAATTTTGGGTCAATTTTAGGTCCATTTTGGGTGGATTTGGGTCCATTTTGGGTCCATTTTGGGGTGGATTTTGGGTCCATTTTGAGTCCTTTTTTGGTCCATTTTTGGTCCATTTTGGGTAAAATTCGATGAATTTTGGGTTCAATTTGGGGTAAACTCGGGTGGATTTTGATGCATTTTGTGTCAATTTTGGTGAATTTGGTTGAATTTGGGTGGATTTTGGTTCAATTTTGGCTGAATTTCAAGACATTTCATTCCCAATTTATCCCTTTATGCAAATCGTATGCAAATAAGACCGACCACACCCACCCTTAATTAACCCCGCCCCTTTTTCCTCTCCTCCAATCAGCTCGGGGCCGAGACGGGCGTGGCCACCCCGGGGGGCGGGGCCATCCGGCAGCTCCTCAGGCTCCTCCCCCTTTTCTTCCTGCCCTTCATCCTCCACTTCCCGGCGGTAAAAAGGGGGCGGGGCTTGGCCAAAAGGGGGCGGGGCTTAGCAAAAAAAGGGGTGGGGTTTAGCAAAAAGGGGAGTGGCTTAGCAAAAAAGGGGTGGGGCTTGGTGAAAAAGGGTGTGGCTTAATGGAAAAGGGAGGGGTTTCAGAAAAAGGGGCGGGGCTTAAGCAGGGAGGGGTTTATAGGAGAGGAGGGGTTTAATGGGGAGGGGAGGGGCTTGAGGAAGGGAAAGGGTGGGAGCTTAAGGGAAGGGAGGGAGCAACCAAAAGGGGTGGGGCTTAAGCGGTGAGGGAGGGACTTAAAGGGGTTTAATGGTGAGGAGGGGCTTAAAAGGGAAGGGAGGGAGGGTTTAATAAAGAGAGGGACTTAAAGGGAAGGGTGGGGTTTAATAAAGGGGAGGGCTGAAGGGGAAGGGGAGGGGTTTAAGGGGGAGGAGGGGCTTAAGTGGAAGGGAGGGGTTTAAATGGAAGGAGGGGCTTCAAGGGGAGGGTTTAATGGGGAGGGGCTTAAGGGGAAGGGGAGGAGCTTAAAGTGGGAGGAGAGGGGTTTAAAGAGAGGGAGGGGCTTAAAGGAGGTAGAGGGGATTAAGGGAGGAGGAGGGCTTGATGGGAAGGGGAGGGAGCTTAAGGAGGAGGTTTAATTGGAAGGGGGCTTAAAGGAAAGGAGGGTTTAAAAGGGAATTGGGAGGGCTTAATAAAGGGAGGACTTAAGGGGAAGGAGGGGCTTAAGGGAAGGGGTGGGGGCTTAATAAGGAGGAGGGCTTAAAGGAAGGAGGGGTTTAAAGAGAGGAGGGGCTTAAGGGGAAGGGAGGGAGCTTAAGGGGAGAGGAGGGCTTAAGGGAAGGGAGGGGCTTAATGTGTTGGGACCTGAAGGGGAGGAGTTTAATTGGGAGGGCGTGGCTTTTGGGGAAGGGAGGGGCTTAAGGGGAAGGGAGGGGCTTAATGTGTTGGGACCTGAAGGGAGGGGTTTAATGTGGGGGGCGTGGCTTTTGGGGAAGGAGTGGCTTAAGGGGAAGGAGGGGCTTAATGTGTTGGGACCTGAAGGGAGGGTTTAATTCGGAGGCGTGGCTTTTGGGGAAGGGGAGGGGCTTAAGAGGGAAGGAGGAGGTTAATAAGGTGAGGAGGGGCTTAATGGGGAGGGGTTTAAAGGGAAGGAGCGGCTTAAAGGGAAGGAGAGGGCTTATAGGGAGTGGTTTAATTGGGGAGGGCTTAAGGGAAGGAGGAGCTTAAGGGAAGGGTTTAAAGGGAAGGAAGGGGCTTGAAGGAGGGGCTTAAAAGGAAGGGGAGGGCTTAAGGAGGAGGGGCTTAAGGAGGAGGAGCTTAAGGGGAGGATTTAATAGGAAGGAGGAGCTTAAAGGGATGGGGAGGGGTTAAAGGGAATTGGGAGGGGTTTAAGGGGGAGGGGCTTAAGGGAGGAGGAGGGGCTTAAAGGGAAGGGGTGGGGCTTAATAAAGGGGAGGGAGCTTCAGGGCAGGGAGGGGTTTAGGGGAGGGGCTTGAAGGGAGGGGCTTAATAAGGAAGGAAGGAGGGGTTTAAAGAAAGAGGAGGGTTTAAAAGGAAGGGAGGGCCTTGATGGAGAGAAAAAGGGGGAGGGAGCTGAAGGGAAGGGGGAGGAAAGCCAGAAGGGAAGGAGGGGCTTAAGGGAAGGGTGTGGCTTAATAAGGTAGGACCTAAAGGAAAGGAGAGAGCTTAAAGAGGAGGAGAGGGGCTTAGTAAAGGGGAGGGAGCTTAATAAGGAGGTGGAGGTGCTTAAGGGGAAGGGGTGGGAGCTTAATTGGGAGAGGGTTTAAAGGGAAAGGGAGAGGGCTTCATGGGGAGAGAGAGGTTTAAAGGAGGAGGAGGAGCTTAAAGGAGGAGGAGGGCTTAAGGGAGAAGAGGAGGGGTTTAATAAAGGGGAGAGAGAGGCTTAAAGGGAGAGGGGATTAAGAGGAGGGAGGGCTTAAAGGGAAGGGGAGGCTTAAGGGGAGGGGTTTAATTGGGAGAGAGCTTTAAGAGAGGAGGGGCTTAAGGAGCAGGGAGGTGTTTAGGGGAGGAGCTTAGTAAAGAGGAGGGGCTTAGGGGGAAGGAGGGAGGGCTTAAAGGGAAGGGGAGGGGTTTAAGGAGGGGAGGGGCTTAAAGGGAAGAGGAGGGGTTTAATAAGGAGGGGAGGGGCTTAAAGGGAGGGGTTTAAAGGGAGGGGAGGGTTGAAAGGGAGGGGTTTTAATGGGGAGGGGCTTAAGGGGTTTAAATAGGGAGGGGCTTAAGGGGAAGGAGGGGCTTAAAGGGAGGGAGGGGCTTAATGGGGTTGGGACCCATAAGGGGAGGGGCTGACTGGGAGGGGCGTGGCTTTGGGGGAGGAGGAGGCTTAAGTAGAAGGGGTGGGAGAAGACTTAAGGGGGAGGGAGGGTTTAATAGGGTGGAGGAGGGCTTAAGGGGAGGGTTTAATAGGAAGGGGAGGAGCTTAAAGGGAGGGGGAGAGGCTTGATGGAGGAAAAAGGGAGGGGCTAAAGGGAAGGGGAGGGGCTTAAGGAGGGAGGGCTTGAAGAGGAGGTTTAAAGGGAAGAGGAGGCTTAAATGGAAGGGGGTTTAAAGAGGAGGGCTTAAGAGGGAGGGAGGGGCTTAAAGGGAAGCAGAGGGAGGGCTTAGAAGGGTGGGGAGGGGTTTAAAGAGGAGGAGGAGTATAAAGGGAGGGGCTTACAGGAAGGGGAGGGGCTATAAGGAGGGAGGGATTTAAATGGGGAGGGGCGTCAGGGGAAGGGGAGGGGTTTAAAGGGAAGAGGAGGGGTTTAAAGGGAGGGGGAGGGGCTTAAGGAGAGGGGTAGGGGGTCTAAAGTGAAGGGGGAGGGGCTTAACAGTAAGCCCCTAAATCAGGGTGGGCGTGGCTTAAACGAGGTGGGCGTGGCTCGAGGGCGCAGGGGCGTGGCTTCCCCACGGTGGGCGTGGCCTAACACGTAGCCCCGCCCCTTTCCCCAGGCGGTCTTCACCTATTGGCTGACGTCGAACAGCTTCAGCCTATTGCAGACCGGCTTGCTGCGAGTGCCCGCCCTCCGGGCCCGCCTGGGCGTGGCTTCCCTGCCCCAGGCCACGCCCACGGCCACGCCCACCCCCAAAGGGAGCTTCTGGCAGAGGCTCAAACGGGGTGAGGGAAATTTGGGGGTTTTTGGGGGGATTTTGGGATTTTTGGGGGATTTTGGGGTGATTTGGGGGTTTTTAATTTGAGTTTTTAGGGGGGTTTGTTTTGGTTTTGGGGAATTTATTTTGAATTTTTGGGGATTTTTTGGGATTTTATTTTGATTTTTAGGGGATTTTATTTTGAATTTTTGGGGATTTTATTTTGAATTTTAGGGATTTTTGGGGATTTTACTTTGATTTTTTGGGTGGTTTTATTCTGAATTTTTAGGGATTTTTTGGGATTTTTAATTTTGGATTTGATTTGGTTTGGGGTTTTATTTTGAATTTTGGGGATTTATTTTCAATTATTAAGGGGTTTTTATTTGGAATTTTTGGGGAATTTATTTTGAATTTTTGGGGAATTTATTTTGAATTTTTGGGGATTTTTTGGGATTTTATTTTGATTTCTTGGGGAATTTATTTTGAATTTTTAGGGATTTTTGGGAATTTTACTTTGATTTTTGGCGGATTTGTTTGGAATTTTAGGGATTTTATTTTGAGTTTTTGGGGATTTATTTTGAGATTTTAGGATTTTTGGGATTTTTTGAATTTTAGGGATTTATTTTGAATTTTAGGATTTTGGGATTTTATTTTGATTTTTAGGGGTTTTATTTTGATTTTGTGGGGATTTTATTTTCAGATATTAAGGGTTTTTATTTGGAATTTTTTGGGGATTTTATTTTGATTTTTTGGGGTTTTTGAATTTTTAGGGATTTTTTGGGGATTTTATTTTGAATTTTTGAGGGATTTTTAGTTTGAATTTTTAGGGGATTTTATTTTCAATTATTCAGGGTTTTTATTTTGAATTTTTAGGGAATTTATTTGGAATTTTTAGGATTTTATTTTTGATTTTAGGATTTTTGGGATTTTATTTTGAATTTTAGGGGATTTATTTTGATTTTTAGGGGATTTATTTGAATTTTGGGGATTTATTTTGAGTTTTAGGGATTTGTATTTTGATTTTTGAGGATTTTATTTTGAATTTTTAGGGAGCTTTGGGATTTATTTTGAATTTTGAGGGTTTGGGGTGATTTTGGATTTTTAGGGGTTTATTTTGAATTTTGGGGTTTTAGGGTGATTTTGGGGTTTTTTAGGGGGTTTATTTTGAATTTTCAGGGGTTTTTGGGGTTTATGTTTGAGTTTTGGGGGGTTTATTTTGAATTTTGGGGTGATTAAATTGGGATTTTTATGGGGAAAATGGGGTTTTTAGGGGAAAATTTGGTTTGAGGGTGAGAGATTGGGGATTTTAGGGGAAATTGGGGAATAAAGGGATTTTGGGGAAAAATTTGGATTTTAGGGTTAAAAATGGGATTTTTGGGGGTTTGGTTTGAATTTTTGGGGGGGTTACTTTAAATTTTTGGAAGTTTTTGAGGGGTTTTGTGGGGATTTAGGTTGATTTTATGAGGGGTTTTGGGGGTTTTGAGGTGTTTTTGATTTTGGGTTTTGGAATTTTGAGGGGTTTATTTTGATTTTTGGGGGTTTATTTTGATTTTTAGGGGTTTTATTTTGAATTTTTGGGGATTTTTGGGATTCTTTATTTTTGGATTTTATTTTGATTTTTGAGAGGGTTTATTTGGAATATTGGGGGATTTTGGGAGGTTTGGAGGGATTTTGGGGTTTAGGGGTTTTTGGGGGATTTATTTTGACTTTTGGGGGTTTTGTTTTGTATTTTGGGGTTTTATGTTGAGTTTTTAGAATTTATTTTGAGTTTTGGTGATTTTGGGGATTTTGGGGATTTTATTTTGAATTTTAGGGATTTTTATTTTGATTTTTTGAGGGATTTTATTTGGAATTTTTGAGGGGTTTTATTTTGATTTTTTAGGGGGTTTTATTTTGAATTTTTAGGGGGTTTTATTTTGAATTTTTGGGTGATTTATTTTGATTTTTAGGGGATTTTATTTTGAATTTTTAGGGATTTATTCTGAATTTTTGGGGATTTTTAGTTTGAATTTTGGGGGGGGTTTATTTTGATTTTTTGTGGATTTTATTTTGAATTTTTGGGGCTTTTTTGGGGGAATTTTTGGGGGTTTTGGGAGGTTTTATTTTGAATTTTGGGGTTTTATTTTGAATTTTTGGGGTTTTTTTGGGGTAATTTTTGGAGTGTTTTGGGATGTTTTATTTTGAATTTTGGGGGGTTTTGGGGTCTTTTTAATTCATTTTTTTGGGATTTTTAGAGTGGGAAGAGGCCCAAGTGACCCAACAGGCCGAGCAGCGACAGCGACGCCTTCGGGACCACCTGAGTTTGGCAGCCAAAGGTGAGGCCAAAAATGCCAAAAAAACACCCCAAAAATGGCCCAAAAATGCCCCAAAATCTCCCCAAAATTTCCCCCAAAAATGTCCAAAAATGACCCCAAAAAAAATCCTTAAAAATGTGAAAAAAATTTTCAAAAATTCATAAAATTGGGAAAAATTTAGAAAAATCACTGAAAACTTCCAAAACCAAAATGCCCAAAATCTCCCTAAAATCCCAAAAGGTCCAAAATGACCCAAAATCCTTAAAAATCAGGGAAAAAAACTCCCAAAAATTCATAAAAATTGCAAAAAGTGAAAACAAAAATTGATAAAAATCCTCCAAATACAAATCTGAAAGCTCAAAAATGACTCCAAAATCCCCAAAATGGAAAAACTCAAAAATCATAAAAATTGAAAAAATTCAAAAAATCTCAAAATTGAAAATCCTAAAAACCAAAATGCCAAACCAAAAATGGCCAAAAATCCTCAAAAATCGGGAAAAAACTCCCAAAAATTCATTAAAAATTGGGAAAAATTGAAAAACCCAAAATCTGATAAAAATCCCCAAAAAATCCCCAAAATCCCTCTAAAAAGGTCCAAAAATGACCTAAAAATCCTTAAAAATGTGAAAAAAATGTCCAAAATTCATAAAAATTGGGAAAAAATTGAAAAATCACTGAAAATCCCCCCCAAAAAATACCCCAAAAATGCCCCAAAATCTCCCCAAAATCCCCCCCCCAAAAAGGTCCAGAAATAACCCAAAAAATCCTCAAAAATCAGGGAAAAAAAGTCCAAAAAATTGATAAAAATTGAGAAAAAAAAGTGAAAAAAATACCCCAAAAAATCGCTGAAAAATCCCCCAAAAACCAAAAATGCCCCAAAATCCAAAATCTCCCCAAAATCCCCCCCAAAAAGCTCCAAAAATGACCCAAAAAATCCTTAAAAATTGGGGAAAAAAACTCCAAAAAATTCATTAAAAATTGAGAAAAAATTGAAAAAAATACCCAAAAAATCCCTGAAAAATCCCCCCAAAAAACCCAAAAAATGCCCCAAAAATGCCCCAAAATCCCCCCAAAAAAAGGTCCAAAAATGGGCCAAAAAATCCTTAAAAATGTGAAAAAAAATGTCCAAAAATTCATACAAAATTGGGAAAAAATTGAAAAAAATACCCTAAAAAATTGTAAAAAATCCCCCCCAAAAAACCCCAAAAATCCCCCAAAATCCCCCCAAAAAGGTCCAAAAATGGCCCAAAAAATCCTTAAAAATGTGAAAAAAAATTTCCAAAAATTCATAAAAAATTGGGAAAAAGATTAAAAAATTGATAAAAATCCCCCCAAAAATCCCCCAAAATCCCCCCAAAAAGGTCCAAAAATGGCCCAAAAAAATCCTTAAAAATGTGAAAAAAAATGTCCAAAAATTCATAAAAAATTGGGAAAAAAAAGGTAAAAAAAATTGATAAAAATCCCCCAAAAATTTCCCCAAAAAAGGTCCAAAAATGGCCTAAAAATTTTCAAAAATCAGGGAAAAAAAGTCCAAAAAATTGATAAAAAATTGGGAAAAAATTGAGAAAAACACCCCAAAAAATTGTAAAAAATCCCCCCAAAAAAACCAAAAAATGCCCCAAAAATGCCCCAAAATCTCCCCAAAATCCCCCCCAAAAAAGTCCAAAAATGGCCCAAAAAATCCTCAAAAATCAGGGAAAAAAACTCCCAAAAATTCATTAAAAATTGGGAAAAAATTGAAAAAAATACCCAAAAAATCCCTGAAAAATCCCCCCCAAAAAAACCCAAAAAATGCCGCAAAATCTCCCCAAAATCCCCCCCAAAAAGGTCCAAAAATGGCCCAAAAAAATCCTTAAAAATCAGGGAAAAAAATTTCCAAAAATTCATTAAAAATTGTAAAATAAGTCTCAAAAAATCCCCAAAAAATCCTCAAAAAATCACCCAAAAAATCCCCAAAAATCACCAAAAATCACCAAAAAATCCACAAAAAATCATTTAAAAAATCAAAAAAATTAATTTAAAAATTAAAAAAAAAACTTTAAAAAAATCATTAAAAAATCATTTAAAAAATCCAGAAAAATTCTAAAAAAATCACCCAAAAAATCCCCAAAAAATACTAAAAAAATCCCCAAAAAATCGCCAAAAATCACCCAAAAAATCCCAAATCACCCAAAAAATCCTAAAAAATCCCCCAAAAACCTCAAAGAGGTTAAAAAAAAAACCTTAAAAAATGACCAAAAAATCCCTATAAAATCACCCCAAAAATCCCAAAAAATCTCAAAAAACCCAAAAAATCCCAAAAAATCACCAAAAAAATCCCCAAAAATCACCCCAAAAATCCCAAAAAATCCCCCAAAAAATCCCCAATTTTTTACAATTTTAGTATTGAATTTTTTAGGTTGTTTTGTGCTGATTTTTTAATCATTTTTTAATTAATTTGATTTTATTTCCAGGTCCCCTCCGGCCCACGTGGGCTCAGAACCCCCTGAAGGAGCCCCCGAGGGACCCCCGGCCCCAAAAACGCCCCTGGAAGGACACGCTGGGCTGAGGGGGGAGGGGAAAATCCCAATAAATTATCCTAAAATATTAAAAATATTCATTTTTTTAGGAAATTTGGGAAATTTTGGGGGGGTTGGGGGAAAAAAAATGGGATTTTTGGGTAAAAAAATGGGGTTTTTTGAGGGAAAAATGGGATTTTTGGGGGAATAAATTGAATTTAAAGGGGTTTTTTGGGGTGGTTTGGGGAAAAAAATGGGATTTTTGAGGGAAAAATGGGATTTTGGGGGGATTTTTGGGGAAATAAATTGAATTTAAAGGGGTTTTTTGGGGGTTTTGGGACCCGCTGGGCTGAGGGGGGAGGGGAAAATCCCAATAAATTATCCTAAAAAATTCAAAATATTTATTATTTTTAGGTATTTGGGGAATTTTGGGGGTTTGGGGGAAAAAAATGGGGTTTTTGGGAAAAAAATGGGATTTTTTGAGGGAAAAATGGGATTTTTGGGGGAATAAATTGAATTTAAAGGGGTTTTTTGGGGGAATAAATTGAATTTAAAGGGGTTTTTTGGGGGGTTTGGGTAAAAAAAATGGGATTTTTGAGGGAGAAATGGAATTTTTGAGGGAAAAATGGGATTTTTGAGGGAAAAATGGATTTTGAGGGAAAAATGGATTTTTGAGGGAAAATGGGATTTTGGGGAATAAATTGAATTTAAAGGGTTTTTTGGGGTTTGGGGGAAAAAATGGGATTTTTGAGGGGAAAATGGGATTTTTTGGGGGAAAAAATGGGATTTTGGGGGGAATAAATTGAATTTAAAGGGATTTTTTGGGGGAATAAATTGAATTTAAAGGGGTTTTTGGGGTTAGGTAAAAAATGGGATTTTGAGGGAAAATGGGATTTTGAGGGAAAATGGGATTTTTGGGGGAATAAATTGAATTTAAAGGGATTTTAGGGGGTTTGGGGAAAAATGGATTTTGAGGGAAAATGGGATTTTTGGGGGATAAATTGAATTTAAAGGGGTTTTTGAGGAATAAATTGAATTTAAAGGGTTTTTGAGGGAATAAATTGAATTTAAAGGATTTTTGGGGGTTTGAGCTCGCTGGGCTGAGGGGGAGGGGAAAATCCCAATAAATTATCCTAAAAATTCAAAATATTCAATTTTTGGGGGTTTGGGGAAAAAATGGGATTTTTGGGTAAAAAATGGATTTTGGGCAAAAAATGGGGTTTTTTGAGGGAAAATGGGATTTTTGGGGAATAAATTGAATTTAAAGGGGTTTTTTGGGGAATAAATTGAATTTAAAGGGGTTTTTTGGGGATAAATTGAATTTAAAGGGGTTTTTTGGGGGAATAAATTGAATTTAAAGGGGTTTTTTGGGGGATAAATTGAATTTAAAGGGGTTTTTGGGGGTTTGGGACCAGCTGGGCTGAGGAGGGGAAAACTCAATACAATTATCCTAAAAATTCAAAATATTTATTATTTTTAGGTATTTGGGGAATTTTGGGGGTTTGGGGGAAAAATGGGATTTTTGGGTAAAAATGGGATTTTTTGAGGGAAAATGGGATTTTGGGGAATAAATTGAATTTAAAGGGTTTTTTGGGGAATAAATTGAATTTAAAGGATTTTTGGGGAATAAATTGAATTTAAAGGGTTTTTGGGGAATAAATTGAATTTAAAGGGGTTTTTTTGGGGGAATAAATTGAATTTAAAGGGATTTTTGGGGAATAAATTGAATTTAAAGGGGTTTTTTGGGGGAATAAATTGAATTTAAAGGGGTTTTTTGAGGGAATAAATTGAATTTAAAGGGGTTTTTTGAGGGAATAAATTGAATTTAAAGGGGTTTTTTTGGGGAATAAATTGAATTTAAAGGGGTTTTTTTGGGGAATAAATTGAATTTAAAAGGATTTTTGGGGAATAAATTGAATTTAAAGGGATTTTTTGGGGGGTTTGGGTAAAAAAAATGGGATTTTTGAGGGAAAATGATTTTGGGGTTTTTGGGGAATAAATTGAATTTTTGAGAGGTTTGTAAAAACGGATTTTTGAGGGAAAAATGGGATTTTTGGGGGTTTTTTTGGGGAATAAATTGAATTTAGCGGATTTTTGGGGGTTTGGGTAAAAAATGGGATTTTTGGGTAAAAAAATGGGATTTTTGGGGGAATAAATTGAATTTAAAGGGGTTTTTTGAGGGAATAAATTGAATTTAAAGGGATTTTTTGGGGGGTTTGGGACCCGCTGGGCTGAGGGGGGAGGGGAAAAACCCAATAAATTATCTTAAAAATTCAAAATATTTGGTTTTTTGGGGAATTTGGGGGGTTGGGGAAAAAAAAATGGGATTTTTGGGAAAAAATGGGGTTTTGGCAAAAAATGGGGTTTTTGGGGAAAAATGGGATTTTTGGGCAAAAAATGGGATTTTGAGGGAAAAATGGGATTTTTGGGGGAATAAATTGAATTTAAAGTGGTTTTTTGGGGGGTTTGGGTAAAAAAAATGGGATTTTTGAGGGAGAAATGGAATTTTTGAGGGGAAAATGGGATTTTTGAGGGAAAAATGGGATTTTTGAGGGAAAAATGGGATTTTGAGGGAAAATGGGATTTTTGGGGAATAAATTGAATTTAAAGGGGTTTTTTGGGGGGTTTGGGGAAAAAAATGGGATTTTTGAGGGAAAAATGGGATTTTTTGGGGGAAAAATGGGATTTTTTTGAGGGAAAAACGGGATTTTTGAGGGAATAAATTGAATTTAAAGGGATTTTTTGGGGGGTTTGGGGAAAAAAAATGGGATTTTTGAGGGAAAAATGGGATTTTTGGGTAAAAAAAATGGGATTTTTGGGGAAATAAATTGAATTTAAAGGGGTTTTTTGGGGGATTTGAGGAAAAAAATGGGATTTTTGGGTAAAAAAATGGGATTTTTGGGCAAAAAAAATGGGGTTTTTTGAGGGAAAAATGGGATTTTTGGGGGAATAAATTGAATTTAAAGGGGTTTTTGGGGGAATAAATTGAATTTAAAGGGATTTTTTGGGGGTTTGGGTAAAAAATGGGATTTTGAGGGAAAATGGGATTTTTGAGGGAAAAATGGATTTTTTGAGGGAAAATTGGGATTTTGGGGGAAAAATGGGATTTTTTGGGGGTTTTTGGGGAATAAATTGAATTTAAAGGGATTTTTGGGGGTTGGGAAAAAATGGGATTTTTGGGTAAAAATGGATTTTTGGGGGATAAATTGAATTTAAAGGGGTTTTTGGGGGAATAAATTGAATTTAAAGGGGTTTTTGGGGAATAAATTGAATTTAAAGGGGTTTTTGGGGGTTTAGGACTCACTGGGCTGAGGGGGAGGAAAACCTCAATAAATTATCCTAAAAATTCAAAATATTCATTTTTGGGGGTTTGGGAAAAAAATGGGGTTTTGGGGAAAAATGGGTTTTGGGCAAAAAATGGGTTTTTTGAGGGAAAATGGGATTTTGGGGGAATAAATTGAATTTAAAGGGGTTTTTTTGGGGAATAAATTGAATTTAAAGGGGATTTTTGGGGAATAAATTGAATTTAAAGGGATTTTTTGGGGGGTTTGGGTAAAAAAAATGGGATTTTTGAGGGAAAAATTGGGATTTTTGAGGGAAAAATGGGGTTTTTTGAGGGAAAAATGGGATTTTTGGAGGGAAAAATGGGATTTTTGGGGGAATAAATTGAATTTAAAGGAGTTTTTGGGGGGGGGGGGGGAAAAAAAATGGGATTTTTGAGGGAAAAATGGAATTTTTGGGTAAAAAAATGGGATTATTGGAAAAATAAATGGGATTTTTGGGGGAAAAATGGGATTTTTTGGGGGAATAAATTGAATTTAAAGGGGTTTTTTTGGGGATAAATTGAATTTAAAGGGGATTTTTGGGGAATAAATTGAATTTAAAGGGATTTTTTGGGGGGTTTGGGCCCCGCTGGGCTGAGGGGGGAGGGGAAAAACCCAATAAATTATACTAAAAATTCAAAATATTCATTTTTTGGGGAAAAAAATGGGATTTTTGGAAAAATAAATGCGATTTTTGAGGGAAAAATGGGATTTTTTGGGGAGAAAAATGGGATTTTTGGGGGGTTTTTGGGGGAATAAATTGAATTTAAAGGGATTTTTTGGGGGTTTGGGGAAAAAATGGGATTTTTGAGGGAAAAAATGGGATTTTTGAGGGAAAAATGGGATTTTTGAGGGAAAAAATGGGATTTTTGGGGAATAAATTGAATTTAAAGGGATTTTTTGGGGAATAAATTGAATTTAAAGGGGTTTTTTGAGGGATAAGTTGAATTTAAAGGGGTTTTTTAGGGGAATAAATTGAATTTAAAGGGATTTTTGGGGGAATAAATTGAATTTAAAGGGGTTTTTTGGGGGGGTTTGGGTAAAAAAATGGGATTTTTGGGTAAAAAAATGGGATTTTTGGGGGAATAAATTGAATTTAAAGGGGTTTTTTGGGGGAATAAATTGAATTTAAAGGGATTTTTTGGGGGATAAATTGAATTTAAAGGGGTTTTTGGGGGAATAAATTGAATTTAAAGGGGTTTTTTGGGGGGTTTGGGAAAAAAAAATGGGATTTTTGAGGGAAAAATGGGATTTTTGAGGGGTTTTTTGGGGAATAAATTGAATTTAAAGGGGTTTTTTGAGGGAATAAATTGAATTTAAAGGGGTTTTTTGAGGGAATAAATTGAATTTAAAGGGGTTTTTTTGGGGAATAAATTGAATTTAAAGGGGTTTTTTTGGGGAATAAATTGAATTTAAAAGGATTTTTGGGGAATAAATTGAATTTAAAGGGATTTTTTGGGGGGTTTGGGTAAAAAAAATGGGATTTTTGAGGGAAAAATGGGATTTTTGGGGGTTTTTTTGGGGAATAAATTGAATTTTTTGGGAGGTTTGGGTAAAAAAAACGGGATTTTTGAGGGAAAAATGGGATTTTTGGGGTTTTTTTTGGGGAATAAATTGAATTTAAAGGGATTTTTTTGGGGGGTTTGGGTAAAAAAAATGGGATTTTTGGGTAAAAAAATGGGATTTTTGGGGGAATAAATTGAATTTAAAGGGGTTTTTTGAGGGAATAAATTGAATTTAAAGGATTTTTTGGGGGTTTGGGACCCGCTGGG